TCATAGACGTCTATGGGAGCAGAGGAGTCGCCCCCTGCTGGTCACTACAGAGAAGTAGAGTAATTTCCTCATAGACGTCTATGGGAGCAGAGGAGTCGCCCCCTGCTGGTCACTGCAGAGAAGTAGAGTCATTTTCTCATAGACGTCTATGGGAGAAGAAGAGTCGCCCCCTGCTGGTCACTACAGAGGATTAAAGCCACTGGCTTCTATGTTTGTTGGTTGAGTTTCGCAGGTGGATATCCTCATGATGATAATTGGTGGAGGAATATCAGGTTCAAAGGCTACAGCACTTATTCATATTCATTTATTCAAAGAGGGACAAAAGCCAGCGATCAGCGTATTATATGGATGAAAAAGCCTTGGATTAAATCACTCACACACAAGCGCTCTTTAAATAATATCATCATATTGATCAAGAAGTCACTGTGGTCATTTGGGGTCATTTCATCTCTCGTCTTTTCATATGAAAACATACGGAAGAAAGAAGTGAAAACTATGGTAATTCTGTTTTTTCTCTTTGGTTTATTCCCATGATGCCTCACCTTCTGGCTGTCTGCCTCGGGCTGCTGCTGGAACACTGGAATCCTGACTGGAAAATAAAACTCCTTTTATCTCAATGAAATATGTAACGTCTCCTCAAAGCTCGTTGGAAAAGAGAGATGAAGGAAGGAAGTCAGGCTCCTTCATTAAATACACACAAGCTGTCATTGAAACAGCTTCTTCCTACCAAATGTATTAATATCAATAGGACGACAATCGGCTACAGAAATCAGGATGAAAATCAAAACAGTTCTGCAGAATCACCTCTATTCACAGCTTTATTGGAACAGGTTTCCCACAGGTCCACAAGGTATGAAATCACTGTAGACGTATCTGAGTGACTTTGGACGGCTGTGGGTCCTTTGGTGATCCAAACCTCCCAGGAAGCCGAGCGTCACCTGTCATCTGGCCAAAGGACGTGTCTTTGGTCATTAACACATGTTACATGTAGGGTGGAGAGCAGATGTTTCTCTGAAGCCTCCTTAGTGACCTGAAGGCTGTGCCGATGAAACCCCGTCGCTGCACGCACACATCTCTCAAGGGCGCCGAATGCACCTGCTGTTATGGGTAATGGGTCTGTTCAAAGGGAAAACGTGATTAGCGCCCGTAGTTCTCGCTAATCCAACACACGAGGTCAAGGGGAAATGGGAGTTCCATCTTGTGTGTTGAGTGTTTCTCGGTTTCTGACTCCTCGATCTCTCTCGATCTGCAATCGCGCATTGAAGTAACAGCCGCTCCTCCGCGGGCCGAGCCAGAGGGCCGGTAGTCGGAGGAGGGCGGAGAATGTGTGTGTTTTTGTGCGCGTCGCATCCCCCCCCTCCCCCAACTTTCCTCACTGATGATCCCTCTCGACTGAGTCCCCGTTCAAACGAAAACTCGCCCTCTGCTGCCGCTCTTTTGGTACCGAAACTGGATGGTCTGGTTTGACCACGTCGTCCACCCATCCACAACCCCCCCCTAGCAGGACTTTGGCTTTTGGCTTTAATACATTTGTATTCCTCCCGTGTTTTCGGAGGGAGACGGAGCCCTGCCTTCTTCCTCTCTTCTGGGCGACTCAAGCAAAAGATCAAAGCCTTTATGGCGGTAAGTGTGACAGGATTATTACACATTAATTCTCGCCCACCTTCCTGATGTCTCATTAAGTTACATTGACCCAGCTGGGAGCCGCTGGAAGGTGATTAAACATGAATGGAGCACTTTCTTCCACCTGCAGTTTAAAGGTGTGGCGCCGACGGCGCTGCTTTGAAGTCCAGCGAGGAATCTATTCTGCTTCATGACAGAAAGAGTGGGTAAAAAATAAATAAAAAGGCTAGTTTAAATGTGATTAAACCACGAGGAGGGAAAGAGGGGGCGGGGTTAGCTCAGCTGAAACAGCAGCTCCACATCTGTTGTTCGGCAGCTCGGGAACAAATACTAAACTGAACCAAACATCGAGACACCAGCAGGAGGGTTTCCCCCTTTGGCAGTCCTCATAAGACCTCCGTTCATGCTTCAGTCTCATCGGACGTTCCTTCAACCCCGGCAGGGACATGATTGGCAGATGAATCATGCAGCAACCTGCAGATTTCTGTCAATCGATTCGTCCATTAGACGACAAATCGCTCGGCTCGGATTGAGAGCATAAGAGCGTTCAATGGGGCCCACGTTGTGGTTGGAAATAACTAATCCATTAGAAGAACACTTGGGAACATGGGACACGGAGAGACGTGAAGGGAGGGAGCGTGAACAGAAATGGAGTCTGGCAACAAGCTGGAAGCTTCACAGGCTCCACAGCAAAGAAACCTCCCAACCAGACGGCCACAGAAAAGAGCTGCAAGTGACAGATTCTTTGTAGTAATGCTAAGATGTGGAGGGGGGGGGGGGGTTCTGCAGGGAGAGCCTTTTTCTGAGGAGGGAACCGGATCCCTTGGAACTCTGTGAGGTGACAGCGGGTGTCCCATTGGGGATGGAGCCCTTTGTCACCGCAGTGATTGTGTCAAAATATTAGAATTTACAGCCTTTTCAAAGAAGACCCTTAAACCCACCTTCCTCCCCAGTGGCCCTCGGGGGCCTCACAGATGCAGAAAAGTACTGCAGAGACACTCAGCAGAACACAAATACATTTTTTTATCAGGATTTTAGATTTGTTGGCACGAAAAATACCTCCCTGTGGGTATCTGAGCAAAACATTGGTGGGAGGTTATAAAACATGAAGAACTGAGGCTCTATTGATGGAACAGTGTGAGCTAATATCATACAAGAGTTTAAAGACCTCATTATATATTCTTTGGATTATTATTATTATTATGGCATAGCCATAATAAAATGGACCCTATCTCTGGAACTACTTTGTCTCTCTCTCTTTGAAAAGGAATGTGTACACATTGTCTGACCTTTGTGATATACCTCATATGTGCACAAGCTTGTTGGTTAAAATACTGGAACATAATCGTTTTGTAATTGAGACGTTGCGTTCAGCTCCATCGTTTTATCAGGGAGGACTCATCCGTCCGTCCTTTTTGTTGAATTGCACAATTTACATTTAAAGTGTTCTTTTCTTTTCGACCGACCTCATATTTGTAAAAGCTTGTTGATCTAAATCCCTCAAACTCAACAACAGCAGGTTTGGTTTGGACCTTATTATAGAATTATTACCATTATGTGAACCTTAAAAGTGTCATTTGAATTAAAAGTGACAATCACCTGCCACCAACAACGAAAGGCGCCCTCAATGTTCAGGACTTTAGTCCTTGTGAAGGAACAAGAGAAATGATCAACAGTTTCCCTTTGATGTAACATCAGATAATGACAATGAAATGTTGAATAAAATGCAGAGACAAAAAATGTATATTTCCAAATCTTTATTCTTTTTTTATGGGGTGTGTGGTTGAAACCGGAGGACCCGGAGAAAAACCACACAGACGAATTATGTTTTTTGCCAATTGTAAACCAAAGTTTGGTGAGTGGGAGGAAACCGGAGGACCCGGAGAAAACCCACGCAGAATTGTGTCTAACCCTACCCCTTAACCCATAACCCATGACCCATAACCCCTAAACCCTAAACCCATTAACCCTAACCCAACCCTAACCCTAAACCCCTAACGCCATAAACCCTAAATCCCATGAACCCTAAACACCATAAACCCTAAACCCCATAAACCCTAACCCAACCCCTAACCCCATAACCCATAAACCCTAAACCCCATAAACCCTAACCCCTAACCCATCACCCATAACCCCTAAACCCTAACCCCATTAACCCTAACCCTTAACCCCATAAACCCTAAACCCCTAACCCCATAAACCCAACCCCTAACGCCATAAACCCTAAACCCCATAAACCCTAAACCCCATAAACCCTAACCCGACCCCTAACCCCATAACCCATAAACCCTAAACCCCATAAACCCTAACCCATAACCCCCTAACCCTAACCCTTAACCCCATAAACCCTAACCCAACCCCTAACCCCATAACCCATAAACCCTAAACCCCATAAACCCTAAACCCCATAAACCCTAACCCATAACCCCTAACCATTAACCCATTAACCCTAACCCTTAACCCCATAAACCCTAAACCCCTAACCCCATAAACCCAACCCCTAACCCCATTAACCCTAAACCCCTAACGCCATAAACCCTAAACCCCATAAACCCTAAACCCCATAAACCCTAACCCAATCCCTAAACCCATAACCCATAAACCCTAACCCATAACCCCTCACCCCCTAACCCTTAACCCCATAAACCCTAAACCCAATAAACCCTAACCCAACCCCTAACCCCATAACCCATGAACCCTAAACCCCATAAACCCTAACCCCTAACCCATCACCCATAACCCCTAAACCCTAACCCCATTAACCATAACCCTTAACGCCATAACCCCTAACCCCATAAACCCAACCCCTAACGCCATAAACCCTAAACCCCATAAACCCTAAACTCCATAAACCCTAACCCGACCCCTAACCCCATAACCCATAAACCCTAAACCCCATAAACCCTAACCCATAACCCCTAACCCCCTAACCCTTAACCCCATAAACCCTAACCCAACCCCTAACCCCATAACCCATAAACCCTAAACCCCATAAACCCTAACCCATAACCCCTAACCATTAACCCCATTAACCCTAACCCTTAACCCCATAAACCCTAAACCCCTAACCCCATAAACCCAACCCCTAACCCCATTAACCCTAAACCCCTAACGCCATAAACCCTAAACCCCATAAACCCTAAACCCCATAAACCCTAACCCAATCCCTAAACCCATAACCCCTAACGCCATAAACCCTAAACCTCATAAACCCTAAACCCCATAAACCCTAACCCAATCCCTAAACCCATAACCCATAAACCCTAACCCATAACCCCTCACCCCCTAACCCTAACCCTTAACCCCATAAACCCTAAACCCAATAAACCCGAACCCAACCCCTAAACCCATAACCCATAAACCCTAAACCCCATAAACCCTAACCCCTAACCCCCTAACCCCTAAGCCACAATTCTGCCCTGTGAGAGGGGAACCAACCCTAACACATCTGTGAACATTCTACATTAATTATCTAAAAAATATATGTCTATGTTTCTGTATAAAAATATGTATTTACATTCTATTCAATGGCACATTATATTACTATTATTATATTACATTTGTTCTTGGATGGTTTGCGGTTGGTTCACCTTTCACCCCCCACCCCCCCTTTCCCTTACATGTGGATACCGTGGACCCTGAAGTTGTAGAGGCACGTCTGCTCTTCATTCCCCCAGTTGCTCCGTATCTGCAGCTTCACGTGGCTGAAGACGTCTTTGACTGGGTTCTGGTCGGAGACGAGAGAGAGAAGTGAATGAAGAGAGTGACGCTTTGTGGCGGAGATACAAGTCTAGTTTAGATTGCAACTCCACCTCCATGTGTGATAGTGAATGTAGCTACAAGCAGCGGAGGTCATGAGTGCTCTGCTTGACCTCTGACATACTCACGGGAAGCTCAAAGGTCTGGGAGGCCGGGCCGTCCTGGTCGTACGTGAAGGTCCCCAGCTGGATGCCTTCTTCGTCCTTGTTCGCCATTCCCTGGAAGAGACGGAAGACAGAGGGGAGCTTAGTCTTTCTTGTGATGGAACAACAGCACCGAGTAGGCGGGACGCCTCCAGGAAAACCTCTGACTTACGTAGACGGAGAACTCTTTCGGCGCACTGTGGATTTCTCCGGTGAGGGACTGTTGCTTTGTGATGTGGCCAAGTGTGACGTGCGTGATCTTGACTGGGTGGGACAAGGAGACGACGGAGTGTCCTTCGGCCCCTGCGAAGCACCAGGCTTTTCCTGGAGACGACCTGGAGCGATCCTGGGGAGAGACAAAGTCAAGTTTCAGGTGACCCACTACGACCGGTGTCTCCATGTGCGTTCATTACAAGACCTTCCTACCTGGATCAGTCTCTGGTGGTCTGTGGATGTTGTGAACCAAGAGAGCAGCTCATCCACCATCATTTCTTTTCTCGTGGTCCGGAAGGTGTATGAGGACAGGCGGGGGAGGACGCTGGCTCCTGCAAGTAAGAGACACAAATACAAAGTTACAAATCACAACGCGTGGTGATGATGATGATGAAGACAGTGGCGAGGACTCACCCTGCGACTCTTGGGCAAAGTTTGGCATGGTGTCTGCGACGGGACTGAAGCGGCTCACCAGCTGTGAGAGCGTCGTTATCTGCTGCCGGGCGTCACGCAGCTGGATGCTGAGGTGTGCGAACTGCGTCACTCCTGAGGGGACACAAAGCAGGACCATTAAGAAATGTCGGTTCGACGGGACGGACACAATGACACCAGCCGTCCCGGGATGGACAGTGAAATAAGTGACGCAAAGACTCACCGCCAGCAAACAGCAGCATGACGAGGAAATACATGAGCATTGATTTCCAGGTTTTGTTGGTCATCTTAATGTTGACTTTGAAGTGTTTTTTGGTCTTTTTGGGGGCGGGCTCCTTCTTGGGGGCGGGCTCCTGCTTACGTGTCACTTCCTGGTTTGTGTCTGTGTGGATTGAGTCGTTCTGGTGTCTTGGCTCCTGGCGAAGTTCTGGGGTCATCGTGGGAGGTCGACTCCACGGGATGAGATACCTGAATATCCTAAAAGACGTGAGGAGGACGTTAGAGACGACTTGTTATGTGGAGAAGACACAATGCTGCTCACTAACTTACCGCTGCAGGATACTCGGAGCAGCTGGTGGGGCCTCCTCGCTGCAAAGGGAGGTTTTTGTCCCCTCGCTGCAAAGGGAGGTTTCTGTCTCCTCGCTGCAAAGGGAGGTTTCTGTCTCCTCGCTGCAAAGGGAGTTTTTTGTCTCCTCGCTGCAAAGGGAGTTTTTTGTCTCCTCGCTGCAAAGGGAGGTTTCTGTCTCCTCGCTGCAAAGGGAGGTTTCCTGGAGACGGGAGGCTCTTCTTGTCAGCATGGCTGGAAAAAGGTGGAAACACAAAGGGGCAAATGATGAGCAACACACATTGATACGAATAAACACTTTAGCTACGAATATCGTGTATTGTCACGATGAACAACAGAGTGAAGGAATTAATGACAGCTAGGAAATTCAATTAACAGCATGTGGACATTTGCCCTCCTTCTTATCAGAGAGCCAAAACACACATAGAAGGTGTATTAAACTATACAACATTAAAAACTAAAATAGTATTCAGGTTTTGACATTTTTGTTCAATCAAGGCTTGAAGATATTAAAATAAATGGTTTAAAGTCTGCAGCGTTGCTGGTAACTCACTTGTTTCTCTTTGTGGTGGGAAGAAGAATCAGTAGAAATCTGGGAGCTTGATCAGTGTGGCCTGTGCGATCGGTTGACTGAGCTGAAATGATCAATTCTTGTGAGCGTTTGCTTTTATAGGCATGAAAGATTCCATCATAGATTCTGAGATGAAAGCCACAGAATTCTACCGGCATTCTATAGAACATTCCGCAATTCTATATGCAAATGGGTTTAGAACACGGAATGTGGCTCCTGCCAGTTGACATCACTGACTGTACGAACTCTTTATGCACGTTTTAAATAAAGTTTTAACTAGTTTAATACTGGCCCAGTAATTAAGTAAGTTAATTCCTGAAAATCAACTGACTCTAAATGATAACTCAGTAGATATTTACTTAAAATGGCCCAAAATAGCCAAAATCCACTCGTATAATGTTGAACAGTACAGATGTTAAACAGGATCCTTTTCACGTCTTCACATAAAATCAGAAAAGAATCTTAGAACTGTTAAAGCAGCGATTCCCAATGTGTGGGCCGCGCCCCCCTGGTGGGCCGCGAAGGTACTGCAGGTGGGCCACGAGAGGTCATTTACAATAAATAAATAAAGTTTTTTAATTTTCAATTTTTGAAAGTTTAAAATTAACATAAAAATATTTATGATGCGGCACATTAGGTGTGTGAAACATTAGTTGAAGAAGCACAAACCATTTAAACGGACAGATTAATAAAACAATGAGGCTTTCGCTGGAAACGGCTGCTCTCGTCCGGCTGTCGGGGCGCCCTCAAGTATCTAAACATACTATGAAGCGTTTCTCTCGGATTTTACACTGTTTGTTTTGTTTTTCTGAAATTACATTTCCCACACTGGGAGTTTGTTTGTGTAAACACGCGTTTATATGTCAAGTGTGGGAATTGATTAATATTTAACCTTCCACTTCTTTCTGTACGAAAATCAACAACCACAATGAGGTTACAAAAAGTACCATTGATTGTTCATAGATGTTGATTGTAATAGACGACAATGTGGTTTTGTGAGATCACTGTGAATTCCCTGCATAATGGTTAAACCCACGAAAAAAGACCAACGAGTCCCCGTCCATCGTCCGGCAGGTCTGTACTTTTTGTAAAAAGCAAACCAACCAACACTAAATAAGTGAAACTAAATGAGCTTGAGGCCGATGTAGTTATTATTAGACTGAGTCATGCTAGTTGGTGTCAACCTGCCTCAGTAGCCTGTCCGAGCTTCGTGCTAAGCTAAGCTTTATAATCCCCACACGCACATGAGACTCCAATCTTTAACAAATAAGCACATTCGGCATCTTTCTTCACTTGCAAATGATCCTTGCGAGGCCCCCCGGGGCAGAAGCTCCCAGAAAACCGCATCCCGAAGAGGCATTCCACTTCCACGTGAGTCGTCCCAAATAAGACATCTCGGGTCACACCAGGGCAATTAGCTGAGTCAGAGCATCCACCACCCGACGTAGCTTCACCCAACCGCCTCAAGCTTCTATTAGAAACACTTCAAATAGAATCTCATGTGTCTCTGCACCCCAAAAGCACCACGGTGGCCTTTCCCTGCTCCCGTCCTCCATTTATTCCTCTAGTTGGACTGTCGGCTCCTTCCTTCCTTCTTTCCTTTGCCTCAGGAGCCTCGGGGCAACAAACCTCTTCCAAGGACACCAGCCGGCTCATCGGGGCAAATAATTCAGAGACACTCACAAGTTAATTGTCAGGCTAATTGTTTGTTTCATTTGTCTCGTATCACAATAAAGATGTTTTGACCTCAAGCAGGCAACGGATTTTAATGGCGCTGCAGCAGAGGAATGAAATGCCCACCTGAGACGCACTAAATCCACCTGCACACACACACACACACACACACACACACACACACCTGCACACAAACAGAACGTCTCTCTCACACACTCCACAATGGATCAATTTAATGGGGAAGAAAATCTCTTTTTACTGCAGCAAATCTCGGCGCGGGTCCGGAGGGGGGGATTCATCCTCGGGTGGTGGAGGCTGGGGGGGGGGGGGTGGTGTTAGCAGCCACTTTGCCTCACCCGACGGAGCTGGACTGGCGCCGGTGGGGATGCAGATGCTGGAGGTCGACCCGTTTCTCACTTTGACTCCTGTCAAAGATCTGAATTATACCCAGAAAGTCCGACATTTAAGAGTAAAACCACCGCTATGTTTATCTGCTGTTCTTCTTCTACTCCGAGGCGACGCCATTCCCATGAATCCTCCACGTCGCCATTGTTCACATGGCGCTGTACATTACGTAATACTGTTATAAATTATTTTGCATCGACCTGTAAATGATTGAAGCGTTGGACCCGGGATGAGACTTTCGGTCTGAAGCGCCAGCCGCCATCTCATCAAATCACAGCGTAGTCTGAGGCGTCGTGGGATCACGGAGACGCGGCGAGGATCCGTGTCCGAGTAGAGGTAAACATGTCTGCATTAACCCGTGTGTGTGTGTGTGTGTGTGTGTGTGTGTGTGAAGCCAAGCCACAGGCCGAGGCAGGGCTGTGAGTGTCTGCCTCATGAATAATGGACATCACTCCCACGGACCAGGCATTGGCCTTATTACTGGGGGGGTCCAGATAGAAATAGACGCGGTCACACAGTGGTTCTCACAGGTGTGCGTTCGGTTTCTACACAAACTGCAGCAGGAGTTGAAGGAGGAATAAAACAGGACTTTTTAATCCACGTCGACCGTGGCCTCCGCGGCCTCCTCGCACACCCGGACCATTTGACGAGACGGAGACAGACGAACGTTTGACTGAAGGCTCACGGATCCAGCGGAACGCGACGCGTGCCGGCGGGTTTGTTCGGGGGGGGTCATGTGACCTGCACCGCGTGTATTTTTAGGCTGCTTGAGGCTTCAGGAGGGAGAGACGCCGCGTTGCCTTTAAGGAAAATCAGAGCTTTTAACATTTAATTCAGCTGGGCTGAGTGCTGCAGACGACATTAGTCGGTTTAAACATTGATTGGGGACATTCTCAAATGTTGCCATTTATATTTGATTGTGCAAATGAACAAATTACATTCCAACAAATCAAAACGGATTAATGGTCTTATGAATATTATTGATTGCACAACGCACCTTCTTGCAAAATCTTTTGTGTTCAACCACCACAAGAAACAGAAGCTTCCCCGATTTCTTCCTTTTTTTTGACGTTCCGACCCACCAAATATCCTCCGCTTTATTTTCACTTTTAGCTGTCAATCCTCCTCCTGTCTGACTCCCAGTTCTCCGCCTCTCGCCTTTTCCTGTGTGATTCTGTCTCCCTTTCTTCCTGATACGCTTGCGCGCACACACACACACACACTCACACACACACTCACACACACACACACAGCAGACTGCTGTGTCGGGTTGGTTGGGTTGCTGAAAGCCTGTGGGAGGCTTGTCAGCTCTCATTGACTTGTGGAACACACCCCTTTCCTTCTCGCTGTCCCCGTGTGCTGCGGCGCCTGTCATGTGTGTGGTGTGTGTCTGCACATGTGTGTGTGTGTGTGTGTGTGTGTGTGTGTGTGTGTGTTTGTGGGTGTGGGGAGGCGGGAGTGCATGTGTGTGAATTGTTTCCTGAGGTCTGTCACGGAAGTAGCAAGTGCATGTACAGAAGAGATTGTGTGTGTGTGTGTGTGTGTGTGTGTGTGTGTGTGTGTGTGTGTGTGTGTGATACACGATACACAAGCGTGTTTTAGTGTGTGTCGTGTGCGTTAATGTGCCTTTTTTGCGGCTCTAAAAGCACATGGACATCTTCCTCCTCTCGCCCTCCACTCCGTGGACCAAAACAACACACACACACACACACACACACACACACACTCACACACACACACACGCACGGTTGAAGAACAAACAGCAGAGTAGGGAAATGTAGGGAAACGTCCCAGAGAGCCGTTGCAGGAGTAATGAAACGGATCCTTGTGGTTCTCTGTCAGGATTAACCGAGCCCCCGAATCCACGAGACGCGGCGGCGACCTCATTACATCAGCAGTGCTGCTGCAAACACAGCGTTATCTCATGTGAGCGCTGCAGAGGGGAGGAGGGAAACAACACGGGAAACAACACGGGAAACAACACGGGGGGGATGTTTTGGGAGGGGAACCAATGACAGGGGGTCGTTTTTATGAAACACTTTGCATGGGATTGGCTGCGAACTAGAAGAGCTCAAAGGATCAGTGAGAGAAGCAGTGTGGCCCGTGGTGGAGACCTGTCAGTCACAGTAAGCCCCGCCCCCAAAGCATCCCCTGCTTCATGCGTCTGTGGGACTAAATGAACATCATGCTGCGTTGAAAGAGACTTCAAACTGCAGATTGAGAGCATAAACTTTACAATGTGTACGGAGGGAATAAATCATGGCTGTCGCTGTAGCTGCTAACACGCGGCCTTTCCAGGAAGTCATCAGTCATCCCGACGCCATCTTTATTTAGAGGCTGCTTGGCCTCAGAGCACCGATGTGAGACGTGTCGGTATGTAAATACGGGGGAAAAGGCCTGTGAGTTATCGCCTTTCCAGACAAACCTCCCAGCTCGCTTCACCTCGCGCACGCTGACTCAGCATTATGCAACTCTCCTTTTTGCATTTTGCATTCCTGCTGGCTCATTCCGCATCGGGCGCTTGGAGCGCGCTCCACTCGCAGCTTCGGTAAATCACAACCTGGCGATTACGATCCTACGACCGAACGACAGTATGCAAATCGGGCGCGTAAAACTGCACCGGCGCGGCGACTCGGAGCATCACAACGACGCGCCGATCCATCGCGTTCCCTCATCACTGGAAGAACGCCGTCTCTCTCCAGACGACCACGCAGAGTGAGTCGTGGAGGCTCGAGGTGTGAACGAGCGCGCCTCGCTCCTCCGGGGACGCCACGCGACTCCCGCGTCACGCACGCCGGCCACCCGAGTGACATATTCGGGAAGGTTCAATCCTCCCACAAGCAATGAACCGTGTGTGTCCTTGGTGGCTCCGGGTGTCATGATTAGCGGCGCCATATGGCTGTAAATGTGACGTGTGCACGCGACCCGTGAGCCCACACCGTGCAGATGGGATGACTCGCCATATGTTACCCGACACAAGCTTTTTGGTGTTTGAGTAACTGTGTGTGTGTGCGTGTGTGTGTGTGTGTGTGTGTGTGCTGACCACTGAATGACAGCGTGTTGAGTGAAGGAGTCTCTCTTTGCTCCAGCGAGGGACATGGCGCCCACATGCAGCTTCGGCTAAATGTCAATGTTACCATCTTGCCTTTCATTCCCCGAGGCAGAAGGCCCGCCCCCCCCCCCCGTGGGGAGAGTTACCTAGCGTCCGACACTAATGTGCACCAATGCTAATGTATTTCTAGACAAGGAGATGTATTATTGAGCTGGTGTGGAAGGCGCGGAGTTTGTTTCTTGCCAGCGGAGGGGGCGGCGGGGTTTTCTTGGGCGCCCCCCCCCCTCCAGGTAACGTGCTGTAACGAGGTCGGGGAGCTTCATTCATCACCAAACACCTGGCGAGCATGAGCCTTTCCTTCAAGTAGCTTCTCAAACATACTACACGGCTGCCTGTAAATGACTTCGTACAAATACATGTGTGCTTCATTTATTGGAACCCGTCGGCAGTGATTGACAGGTCTCTCAGATCAATCAAATGGAATAAGAGTCAAAGAGGTTCACCAAGAGGTAGTGAGTGACCTGTCAATCACACAGGCAACGCCCGTCCTATGACGGCCATGAGAGACTCAACGCCTGGGGAGGGCAGGTGTGATGGCCCCTCCCACTCCTGCTCGCCGTGTCAAAGTCATTTAACACGCCATCAAGCTCACCCTATAAAAACCCTCCAACCAAAACCGGCCCTGTCCCTCCCCACGCCGATGAAAGCCAACAGAAGGACGTTAAAGCGGCGGCGTGTGTGAAGTCGAGCGATGACAAACAGAAAATCGCACGTTATCGGGTTTAAAACCTCTCACCGCGGGCGTCGTTTTCAAGAACCACACCATGACCCCCGTCTCATGCTTCAGGGCTGATGAAACGTCTCCGATGAAGCGGCGCTTCGCGCCTCGTAAAGGCTCACGGGGCTCGCAGGTTGACCTTCACAGAGAAGGCGTGTGGCACAATACGCTGTAAAACACGCCGTCAATGTTCTTTCTGCTCCCATTTGGATTCTGGGTAATATTCAGCGTGAGCATTTGTGATGTTGCATCGCACGGACCTCGATTACCGGCTTCGGCGTCCACGCGGCATCTTTCTGACGGCTGCGATGCGTCCGACTTAGTGGGAATTAAACATCACGGTGCCAATGTGGCTGCCAGAATCCAATCGATCAGCTAATAAACATTGATCCGTCTCGCCGACAGAAATGACTCATTCATCTGTCCCGACGTCAAAGGACCCGATGGCCAAAACACCCGACACCCAACCCAACAAACCCTCCTCCTCTGCCCCCCTAAACGGTCCCTTCCCTCTCCTCCATAAGTGATCACTCTGATCACTCTGGTCACTTTGATCATTTTGATCACTCTCATCACTTTGATCACTCTCATCATTCTGATCACTCTGATCATTTTGATCACTCTGGTCATTTTGATCACTCTGATCACTCTCATCACTTTGATCACTCTGGTCACTCTGATCATTTTGATAACTCTAGTCATTTTGATCACTCTGATCATTTTGATCCCTCTGATCACTTTGATCACTTTGATCACTCTGATCACTCTGATCACTCTGATCACTCTGATCACCGAGCAGGTTCGTCTACAATCCAATGGAGCCGAGCTCTGAAGTGCCGGATACATTAGCGGAGGACTAAATCTCCCCACTGACTGCAGTTTGATGTTGTTTACTGCTAAGTACCAGTTACAGGCTGTAATGGAACTAGTTCCTACAGAGATGATGACGTGAGAATGTAAAGCTCAGAAAAGCCTCCATGTTTTTACATCCAGCTTGCTTTTGAGAAACGTTCTATAACTCCAGAGAGACGTGAAACGACCTTAATGGAGTTCTCCGTGAGCACAGTAATATAGATATATATAATATACACAGACATCGTGGGCTGACAAAGTTTAACCTGAGATTAAAATGATACTACAATGATCCCCTCAGCGCTGTGACAGTCTGTCTGCACACAGTGAGCACAGGAAGGGAAAAGATGACATTTAAAGCCTCTTCTGGCTTTGAGTAAGAATATGCAACACATAAACACAACGGTGTGAAGTGAAGTTCTACAATAGCTGAAAGTGGTGACGCTTGTCAGGGACTATATTTACCCGCTCAGTTGACTTCCTGTCGACACTCTCTCTTCTGTAAGAGTGACTTCAGGACACATCTGGATCCACAGAGACCCAATCAGCAGTGAGTAGTAGACCTCGCTACAAGGAGAAGGTGAGGACCCTTTTGGACTTTTACTAAAAGGTCGGGACGGCTTTCAGATACATCGGCTCTGATTAAAAGGTTGTTTTGGCCAAACCTTAACTTGTACCATGTAGTCTTCTTGGGACGATCGTGCGCTCACCATTTACCAGAACTGGTTGAAAGTCCGTCTTTGTTGAGTCTCCCCTGTTGGATGGAACGAACGTTGAGTCGGATTGAGTGAGCGATGTCAGCCTGGATCACGGTGACTTGGGTCGTCGTGATGTAAGCGCGCACGCTCAAAACTAAACTTCCTCTCAAATGCCCACTTGTGTGTGAGTGACTCATCGGGGAGGAGAAAGGAGGGAGAGAAAAACCCATTTCAATTTTCGTATCCACTTTGGTCCAGACAAACAGCTGTTGGGTGACTGAGCGATTGGAGGAGTGAAACCATCATCAGCTTAAGATGGACTTTGTGTTTTCAGGAGGCTAAACCATGAAGATTAAACGTGCAACACATTCCTCTCCTTCAGTAACGCCCTGTGCCTTCTCCAATGCCCCCCCACCTGCCCCGTCATTAGTCACGCCCTGTCATGGGCGGCTTAGCATGCAGTCAGCGTCGCCAGCAGCACCTCCCACCAAACAAAGTCATGAGTCACAGGAGAACCAAGGACCACCTCTCCCTACTGGCGGGGGTCTGGGGCGTGAGACGCGCTGTTGTCACGGCAACCCCCCCGACAACATGGCGACTGTTTGAGTGGCTTAATGGCTCCACGAGTGCAACGTGACACTCTTCATAGTCTCTTTTCGGCCCCCTGACGGGTCATCAAGACCACCTAGTTATGTTGCGGTTTGAGCTTCTTTGATACCTTCCAGCTACCTATAATATAGTACAGATAAAATACTGACAGCTGTTCACTTAAAAGTATAATAATACTTTATTATGATGCAAACGTGCCTTTAAATGTACCCATATATTGTATCAGAAGGCCTGGAGCTCTCATGTCGTACATGCCATCTGACATCTCTATTTATACACATTAAGCGTGCAGCTCACCCAGTAGATACGGTGGACTCCATGGGGGGTAAATGGAGGTTGCTCTCTCTGTGCCGGTGCTACAGCAGAGAGGAGGTGTGGAGTGGAAGCAGGAAGCACAGGGACCAAGAGGGCAGCTATTTGTGCGGGATTGCACCTCTTCGTTGCAATTTCCCTCCAACAGCTAAATTTGTGCTGAATAACACCCGCTGGGACGACCGTGTTTCCACATTTCCGACATCGTTTTCAACCTTTACACGGCAGGCGGGTGGAGGAGGAACGCGGCGGGGTTATCAGCCGCGGCCTGAAGCAACACGGCGCACGCGCAGAAAATGCAAATGTGTGCAGGCGTTACGGCGGAAAGCTCCTGGAGTAGACGGGTTGGTGCATTTTGTGTAAATGCGAGATGCTCAGATGCTTCGGGGTCTCCGGAGCCTTTGGCGGAGTGCTGGGTGTTCCACGTGGGTTCAGCCCCGTGCCAACTTGCTCCTCGGTTCCTTTTGTTTTTCCAGCTGCGCACGGAAGCTGCAAACCTCCTTCTTCATCTGGTCCCAGCAGCCTACAGCCATCCGCGGCAACTGACGGAGACAAGTTCACTGAATCCTCTCCAGCAGAAAATGGGATTCACTGGACCAGCTGAGGCTCTTTTTCTATTCGTTCTCCTCGAGTGGCTGCTGAAGCAAAGTCTCATCCGATCCCGCACTTCTTGACAATAAGGGTCTGGCTTGTTGGGGATTCTGAAATCCAGCTTGAGTGAGAGCACTGCATCGTGTTTTCACTTTGCTTCTTGGACCCTTCAAACAGTGAGAGGGTTAAAGTTCTAGGAAGAAAATAAGGACGACTTTCATCCTGTCCATCACAAGTTAGCCCCGCCCTAAAGCGATTTACTAAATGAGCATCATGCTGTGTGGCAGAAGACTCGAAACTAGAGATTGAGACCATAAACTCCTGTTTACAACGTTTACTGAGGGAATAAATCAAGAGAGAAGTCGAGTCGTTTTCCCATAGACTTCTATGGGACCAGAGGAGTCGCCCCCTGCTGGTCACTACACAGAATGCAGAGGACTGCCGCCTGGTTCTGCAGCTGTTCTCACAAACCAGGAGATGGTTAGGATTTAATGAATGACGCTCTGAGGCGAGCAGATGTTGCCATTGTTACGTTGGTGCCAATAAACTTGGAAAGCTGGAAATTCAATTAGCGCAACAGGACAACAAGAGTCGAGACAAAGGGTCAGAAGGGAGACGCCAGGAGAGTCGACGACCGGAGGATTTAGTTGTAGCCGGAGCTTAAATGAATGTAATTACGTGGTGTAATGGCCCTGCGCTGGCCTCACTTCCAGGATAATTCAATTTGAAGAACGAGGAGAGGACATGATTGTGAGAGCAGCAGAGGTGACGGAGATATTTGTGTAGAGATCGAGAACGTGAGCGTGAACGGAGTGGTTACAGGTGAGGGTGACCGAGGCGGCGTGCGGAGGAGGAGGAGGGGGAGGAGGAGGGGGAGAATGTTACGTGGGGGAGGCCGTGAAAAGGAAAGATAAGAACGGGAAGAAAGTCAACGAGTCGTGAGATTCCTTCACGTGTGGCAGAAATGTTCAACCAGGACCTCCAAGACGGAACCGGGCCAATAGGATTTGCTCTTCTGTCCATGAAAATCCTCCACCCAGCGAACGTCAGAAATGTGTGGACAGCTTTTCTTGATGCGCATCGGCTTCACCGGCGCGCGCCGTGCTCACAAACACAAATGACATTTTGCAGACCGAGGACAACCGGTGAAAACATGCTGAAAGGAACCACTACCCTGGTACAGCAGAACCCCAGTGGAACCTTCACACATACAATGCATGAACACGCCGTGTGCTCCTATATTAATATGTCTTTGTGACCTTTAGTAACAGCACAAGGGATGCACAGCTGACCACGATGATGCTGTACATGCACGTGTCCATGGTGCTACATGGTGCTACATGGTGCTAAATGGTGCCCCTTTTTAAGCTACATGGTGCTACATGGTGCTGAATGGTGCTACATGGTGCTACATGGTGCTGAATGGTGCTAAATGGTGCTACATGGTGCTACATGGTGCTGAATGGTGCTAAATGGTGCTACATGGTGCTAAATGGTGCTACATGGTGCTACATGGTGCTGAATGGTGCTACATGGTGCTACATGGTGCTACATGGTGCTGAATGGTGCTACATGGTGCTACATGGTGCTGAATGGTGCTACATGGTGCTAAATGGTGCTACATTGTGCTACATGGTGCTACATGGTGCTGAATGGTGCTACATGGTGCTACATGGTGCTACATGGTGCTAAATGGTGCTACATTGTGCTACATGGGTGCTACATGGTGCTGAATGGGGCTACATGGTGCTACATGGTGGCTACATGGTGCTGAATGGTGCTACATGGTGCTAAATGGTGCTCTGATGCATCCGTAATGAAACCCCCAACCACTTAGCGTCCCTCTTATCTCCACCCGAGACGCATGCCGCCCCCACCACCCCCCCCCCCTCCCGGGAGGCCGGATCCTCCTCCATCAGTCGATCCGTCTCCAGGAGCAGGCCGCAGCGTCCATCTCTTTAGAACGTCTTCAATGCGTAAGTGGTCGACGGGCTTCTGGCTGAAGAGAAACGACTCTTCCATGATGCACGTGGAGCATCTCAGGGCCTCGCTCAGTTTATTTCCATTATCGATCCGTCCGTCAGCGAGTCTCTCCCGTTACTCCGTCAGACAATCGCCGCACGCTTTCCTGGAGTCGATGCTTTTAAATTGGTTTTTCTTTCGACAAAGACTCAAAAAAAAAAAAAACGATTGTAGCATATTAACAAGCAGCGTGCTTGGATGAAACCAAAGATCTGCCGCGTTCCTTCCTCTCCTTCCCCAGGCTGCACAGGAGCTCCGGGGTGCTCGCTTCCATCACAAAGTGTTATGAAGAATCATGTGGCTGCGCACTGACCCTCCCAGTGTCCTACACAGGGAGCTTATTGTGCGGCTAACGGTGCGTGAAGGTGTCCTGATCTCTATCTTCAACCAGGCTCTACAACTTGAGGCTGCCGCCACGTACGTCGGGATAATAAATGTGCCTGCGTTTTAAGGCAATTTGGTAGGTATTCACATTGACCTTTTTGTGGCCCATCAGCTCCCAGATGCTCTGGGGAGCCTCTGGTGTACATCTTACGCACACTTGACAGAGAGAGCGTGTCATGTAACACGCTCTCCCCCGTACTCGCGCGTACTACCCAGACCACCCTCGCTCTGATTGGACGTCCCCCTGCTGCAAAACTTTACACTACTCTCCGTTATGTCCTTCCAACACGGCGGCTTTTTTCACTCAACGTTTGGGTCGTCCTAGCCGCTTTAAAGTACATTATAACAATTTTACATACCCTCCCCCTTGCTCCACTCATCTTCTCTCTCCAAAGAGACACTCCGGGGGAGCCCGCGACACGCTGTTTTATTCAGAACAGCGACATCAGATCGTTTCACGTGCTGCGAGAGTGTGAGGGAGAATTAATATACAAGAATCAGAGTGGAGAAGAAGGCCGACAGGAAGGAGTGTTCATCACCACTGACCTCTAACCAGCCAGTAGGAACCGGCATCTGCCCAAAGAATTTACCAAGTGATGCGTATAGGTCGACCTTTTTTACAAACCACTCCTCCATCCTCCTCCATCCTCCTCCATCACAATACGGCTGTGTTGATGCGTGGATGCGTGGTTGGCTGGATACTGCAGGATGTTGGCTTCCAGCACTTGGATTGAAATCAGACACTTCATTAACTTTAATGAAGTCGTCAAACGGCTGCTTGCGAAGCAAAGCCCTTTAATGTGTGCAGAAGTCGAGGGAGGAGCGACGCGGTCGATTAGTCAGAACTCGTCTCGCTGCATTAATGTGGCAGCCATGCTGCAACTGCAGGTCCAACATGTCCATCTTCTTCCTGCTCAGCGTTTCCCTCCCAGGGCCGTGCGTGTCCCTCGGCGCCACGGACGCCTCCACGGACGACTACAGCTCGTGAAGCACATCGGCGGATACGCGGCGAGAACATTGCTCCGGTGCTGGGCCCTTATCTGGGGTCCCGACCTCAGGGAGCCGGGCTCCGAAGAGGCCCTGAGCGACTTCCGCGTAGAGTTTCTGGCTCGGCTCTTTGGATCCGAGTGTGTGTTTTTGTTCCAAATAAGAGAATTAGCGAGGCGCTTGTGCACCTGTATCCCCTTCACGTCTGATCTCATCTCGTCCCCAGAATCCAAGCCGCCGCCGGGGGAGCGGTGGGCTAAATGTAGGCAC